TTTTTTTTTATGTGTGTTTGTGTTCTGTCTGAACCTCTGGCGCGGTGTTCGCTCACCCGTAAGTTACTTTATGTTTTTTATGTATGTTTGTGTTCTGTCTGAACCTCTGGCGCGGTGTTGACTCACCCGTAAGTTGATTTATGTTTGTTTGTGTTCTGTTTATACTCTAATGCAGCGTGAGCTCAGTAACTAACTACTTACTCCAACTACAAAACGTACACTCACCTTAGACTCCTGTATTTTGTTAGATGCAGTGTTTTTCCTTATGCACTTCCAAAATGTCATGCCTGGTTTTCTCAAAGTACTGTTGCGGGAAGTAGCTCCTTTTAACTACTCCAGGTCAGGTCAGGATAATCGAGATCAATCTTGCTACTGGTATCACGTAACCCAGTACCACCTGCCACAAGCCCTGCTGCCTTGCAGAGTGTGCTCTTCTTATGCAAAGGCTAGGAGAAATAAACTCCGACTAAAAATTCCCCTGCCTTGGGGCTCTTGGTTGAGTAAAGGCTAGAGATGGTGTCTCGATAAAAACACTCATCTTGGGCAGATGTTAACTGCATCCAGCTAAACATCCCCTGCCTTGGGGCTCTTGGTTGAGTAAAGGCTAGAGATGGTGTCTCGATAAAAATACTCATCTTGGGCAGATGTTAACTGCATCCTGCTACTGTCTTGTAGAAGGCCTTCTAGGCAAAGACTTTAGGGGTAAGCAGAAAAATTCTGCTAACCAGCCTCGAACCCCTTCTTCATCTATTAGGCTGGCGTAGATGTAACCTGTGTTACATTGTTTCCTGCCTAGGATGATGAATGCTGGATCTCCTTGACTCTACTCATAGAATTTTGCTTATGCCTCCTTGATAATGGCTATGCAACTCTTCCTGTTATCTCCATATGAGGGTACAGCTCTAAAACTCAGTTTAATGGTTCTGAGGCCGGCTGGTAGTAAGGTTTCCCGAACTCTGTGGTAGCTCTCAGAGAGGCTGATTCCATCAACAGCTGCAAAATATCAGAGTATTAACAGTGCCATGTTGCGCATGGATGGTGTCCCTGTTAATGCTTTTGGTGTGCATTGTCAAGGCCACATAAGGAGCCCTATGTCACGGCTTAGGGTTAATTAACAGGACTGAGATAACTGCATAGCTCATTGATTAGGAGGCTGTGCTCTATCTATGAATGAGTCAAGTTCTCATTAAACCCAAATCATGACCAAAGTAACCAAAAATTTAAAACCTAAAAAACCATCTCCACCACCTAAATATTTTAATATATCTTTTACAAATATTCGCGGTCTACGAAGCAACTTTACATCAGTTGAGTGTTACCTCCTGCAAAATTCACCAGACTTGCTTGCACTCAGTGAAACAAATTTAAGTTGTGCAATTCCTTCTTCAGATGTCAGTGTTGATGGGTACTATCCTTTGATTCGTAAAGACTCCAATAGTCACATGCTAGGTTTAGGGGTATACATACGCATTAATTCCCCTATTTGTCGTGAAATCAGGTTCGAATCCTTTGACCATTCTTTTATGTGCTTTCGCCTAGCACCTCTTCACTCTATCACCTTTCTCTTTGTTCTTTATAGTTCTCCTTCTTCCCATGATTGCACTCTTTTAGATGTTATCTCTGATCAAATTGACCATGCCCTCTCTCTTTACCCCTCTGCCAATATTGTTGTTGTTGGTGATTTTAATGCCTATCACACTGAATGGCTTGGCTCTAACACCACTGATCCTGCTGGCACTAAAGTCTTTAACTTCTGCGTTTCTCAATCTTTTACTCAGATAGTTAACTTTGTGACTCGTTTTCCTGAAAACCCTAATCATTCACTTTCACTCCTTGACGTATATCTTGTCTCTGACCCTAGCTTATGTTCAGTTTCTCCCTTTTCTCCCTTAGGTGGTTCTGACCATGCAATGATCTCTATAAATCTTTCTTCTCGTACTTCTTTTTTGGGCTCACCTTATCATCGCACCACCTACTACTACCCTAAAGCTGACTGAAATTCCTTTCGTGATTTTCTTCGTGATGGTCCTTGGGCTGATGTTTTTTCTCTCTCAGCTGACAAATGTGCCTCCTACGTAACCTCCTGGATTCAGGCTGGAATGGAAGCTTTTATTCCTTCTCGTCGGTTTCAAGTCAAGCCTCATTCTACTCCATGGTTTTTTCCTTCTTGTGCGGCTGCTATATCCAATCGTAATCATTTTTTTCATCTTTTTCAAAAGAACAACTCTCTTGAGAACAAACGGCTATTTATTATTGCAAGAAATCGATGTAAAAAGGTGCTTTCTGATGCTAAACTCCATTAATCTCAGTTCACTAAATCTCGCATCTTATCGCAGAAGTTAGGCTCTAAAGACTTTTGGAAAATCTTCAACAGCATTGTTAACAAGGGTAGATCTAACATTCCATCTCTCATTCATGGGACTGATCTTGTTACCTCTCCCAGGGATAAGGCAAAACTGTTTGCAAAGAACTTTTCTTCTAATTCCACTCTTGAATCTTATGGACATTCTCTTCCTTCCATTCCAGTCAAACAGGTTGACCCATTGTTAGACATTCAAATCACTCCGGCTTCTGTTGCTAAAGTCATATCTCAATTAAACTCTTCTACAGCTTGTGGTCCAGACAACATTCCTGTCACAGTCTTGCAGAATTGTTCTCCAGAACTTTCTTCAATTCTCTCTAAACTATTTAACAAGTGTTTGACTGAGTCTTGTTTTCCTGCTTGTTGGAAAATGGCATCTGTGATTCCAATATTCAAAAACTCTGGAGAAAATTCTGACCCCTCCAATTATCGTCCGATTAGTCTTCTTTCTGTTATTAGCAAGGTCTTTGAGTCTTTAATCAACAAATTCCTCGCATCTCATCTTGAGTCAAATAAACTGCTGTCAGACAATCAATACGATTTTCGATCCTCTCGCTCTACGGCCGACTTGCTAAATGCTGTAACTGAAAGATTTTATCGTGCATTAGATGGAGGCGGTGAGGCTAGGGCTATTGCTCTCGACATGCTAGGGCTATTGCTCTAAAGCTTTCGACAAAGTTTGGCATGCTGGTCTTCTCCATAAGCTTGCTTCATATGGTGTTTCTGGGAGAGTTTTTGAGATTATCAAATCATTTCTTTCTGACCGGTTTATTAAAGTCATCCTTGAAGGCAAACACTCTTCTTTATTTCCAGTAACTTCTGGGGTTCCCCAAGGTTCCATCCTGGGCCCTGTTTTGTTTCTTATCTACATAAACGATCTTCCTGACAACCTTTCATCTAAAGTAGCTCTTTTTGCTGATGAAAAAAAAGTCTTCTCTTTTCGATCGCCTAGAACAAGCAGCTAATCTTGAATCTGATCTCACTTCAGTAATAGATTGGGGTTCACAGTGGCTTGTGAATTTCAACTCTAAAAAAACCCAATTGCTTACTGCAAACAACTACCGTAGTATGGTCAACATTCCTTTATTAATGAATGGCAATCCTCTTACTGAGTCCTCCTCTTTACGTCTTCTTGGATTATCGCTTACTACTGACCTTTCATGGAAACCATATATACAATCGATTGCTAAATTAGCTTCTGCTAAAGTTGCTTCTCTTTATTGTGCTCGCCATTTTCTTACTTCTGATTCCATTCTCTACCTCTACAAATCTCTTATATGTCCCTGTATGGAATACTGTTGTCATATTTGGGCTGGTTCTTCTAACGATTCACTTTCTCTTCTTGACAAGGTCCAAAAACGCATTGTAAATGTTGTTGGACCTGGACTATCTCCTAAGCTTGAACCTCTTTCCCATCGTCGTAAAGTTGCATCTCTTTCTCTTTTCTACAGATACTATCATGGTCACTGCTCAAAGGAATTATCATCTCTAGTTCCATCAACTAAAATTCATTCTCGTTTTACTCGTCATTCAGCTAAGTCTCATTCGTTTTCTGTATCTGTCCCTGCATGCTCTAAAAACTTTTATTCATCTAGTTTTTTTCCCCGCACTTCAATCCTTTGGAACTCTCTCCCATCTTCATGTTTTCCTGACTCATACAACCTTCAACTTTTTAAGTCTTCTGTCAACCGTTTCCTTGCTCTATAACTCTGTTCTTTTTTTTTCCTTGTAACTCCCAACTTAATAGTGGTTGCTTGCAGCCTTGTTGGGAGTGAATGCAAATAAAAAAAAAAAAAAAAATGTAGAGTATTTAAACTTGATTTACAAAGTGATTTATATACACAACCGATTCTGTCTAAAACCTTTAAAATTTTCTTGATACCAAAGATTAATGAAATAAAAGTAAAACTGGTTGTGTTAGGAGTTGAAAGTCTCTGCCGAAAGGTTGTTGCTCTACCTTGGAAAGAAGGTCTTGCGTGCTTTCCTTTGTTGCATGAAATAGAACATTAATAAATCATATTTATTTGATTGAAACCTTTTTAAATAAAATTTTTTGTTTATTTATACTTTACAATTATTATTTAATAATTTGCATCTTACCTCGAATGGTTATTAGTGAATCTTATCATGTTAATTATATATATATATTATATATATATATATATATATATATATATATATATATATATATATATATATATATATATATATTAATTATATATATATATATATATATATATATATATATATATATATATATATATATAATATATATACATATATATATATATATATATATATATATATATATATATATATATATATATATATATATATATATATATATATATATATATATATATATATATATATATAATGTATATTATATACATAATAAATAATAAAAAATGATAACGTGAAACGTTAAAATTAAAAATTGTTGAAGATAATATTTTTTTAAAACATTGTTTCTATTTTATTGCCTAAACAAACTGAAAAACTGCACAGACAGACAGTTATTTTAATACCTTTTTTCGTTTGGTTTTTGTATAATTTTTGAAAAAACTAAATGCTCTTCCTTATCATTATATACATCATTAAATACCTAGTTGTTTTTTTTTAATATCTTTTCATTCCT